AAAATGTGGAAAAAAAATACACAAACAAATGAGAGTGGACCAAAATAAAAACCCCGTATTCAGTGAATACGTTTTACCATTTTTTAATTATAATAATAATAATAATAATAATAATAATAATAATAATAATAATAATAATAATAATAATAATGTAGAAGCGTACAAGTAGCGCTAAACATCCCCCTTATATATAATTCCCGAATGTGCTGAGCCTACGTGGCTGCTTCTGGTGCTTCGGAATCCTATTTGGCAAATAATTATGCTTCGTAATTAGGTTTGGACAAATAATATTGATATATTAATAATTAATAATGTAGGTTAGGACATTCCATAAATATTATTTAGTTAACTTAGGTATTTTAATATCACTTGTACTAATATAACCCTTTAATTCTTTGTAATTTTACATAGTGAGGCACTAAGTGACTAATATATCCCTGACTTTTGATTTGTTTCCTTCAATTAGCTATTCAATTGTAAATGTATTTTAAAAGTTGATAACTTTTGTATTTCTTATCGATTTTATATATATAATATATCAAATTAATCACCTTTTGATGATGTTCGATTTGACATCCATATTGTATATATTAAATAAATAAATTATATTTATCTTTATAATAAAAAAAATAATAATATTTATTAAAATACATTAGAAAAATAAAATTATTTCTCAATTGATATATTTATGTTTAATGTAGATATATTTTGTTAGTTATAAAAAATTATTATAATATAATACAGGTAAGTCGCACAAATAAAAAGTTTCATACTTAATATATAATAGTATATATATTTTTATAAAAAGGTTTTAAATTTTTAACTATTTTTCTCATTAATTTTAAAAATTAAATAAAAAATTAACAAGCACCCGTATAAATACACGGACGTTGTTGTACTAGTTATATTTTATTGTTAAATTAATGGAATAGCATCAAATGATTATATTTTATTGTTTAAAACTAAATTGATAATTTATACCGAAAAAATTAAATTGATAGTAAAATTAAAGGTTGGTTGTTACCAAATGGAAGCTCAATTTTAAAACTAATTGAGGATAAATTAATCGGAGCATAAGAGGAGTAGTTCATTAAACAGTTTTGCTATGGAGTCATCGGATGACTGGACTTATGAAATCATTCGCAGTTATTCACGAATAGTGTATTGACACATGTACTACAATAAATACACTTTAGACAAGTGTCAATATATTAAGTGACCAATAGCTTCATAAGAAAACCATCCGATGGTTCTACAAAATTTTTGTTTCACTAAATATAAAGGAGATACAAAGTGAGATTTTATTTCAAAAGCAACTAATGATAGAACTAGAGTTATAAATTAGATTAATTTTTAAATATTTCATGACAATTAATTAGCGAGTGTTCTTCTTAGTAAATGCAACGGTCCCGTTACGGTATCATCGTGTCGGGTGCTCTAACAGTTGGATCATCTATCATATCTAATTACATGTGGATCCAACGGTTAACACACCTGAGAAATGATACCGTAACGGACCGTAACATTTCCCGTTCTTTAATCAACACGTGAGAGTTGTATAATGATCGGTCAATTATACTCAAGTTGCCCTGTGAATCCGAAAACCAGAAGGTCCCTA